GGTTGAGGTTGATGTGGTGCTGGTTGAGGTTGATGTGGTGCTGGTTGAGGTTGATGTGGTGCTGGTTGAGGTTGATGTGGTGCTGGTTGAAGTTGATGTGGTGCTGGTTGAGGTTGATGATGTAGTGCTGGTTGAAGTCGATGATATGGTTGTACCAGGCATCGATTCAGATAAAGTACTCTTTAAAGTTGTCCAAAATGATGTGAAACTCGATAGTATCAATGAAGAACTGGTAGTGGTAATTATCGTTGAACTTGTTGGTACTATAGTACTAGTTCTTGATGTAGAATTATTAGTTGCCATAGAAGAGTCGGTTATTTCAATAGCAATGGAGGCCATGGAAGAACCTGTGGATGCTACAGAAGAACTTCTATCTGTTGTTGAAACTGGCACTGAATTTGTAGTCGTCGTTGATGAACTTATATTCTGAGCTATGCATAATATGTTATTAGGGTCTTCAATACAAATAATACTAGGATCCCCAGTACATTTTTGGACCGCTGAGTCATAGCAAACCCCCAAACATAACTGTATTTGATTAGGCTGATAATAATTATATGATTTTGTAACATTACATACTGTTTTTTTGTCACTTGCACACACCTGATAGTTGTTAGTTATACATTTTCCACCACAAATGCGATCATTGTTACAAATTATGCTATCTAAACACTTTTGATTTGCTAGATTGTAACAACCACCAGGATAGCAAATGTGATATCCAATATTGCAAAGAGTGTCATTGATACAAACTTGTGTATCTAAATAATAACAAGAACGAGAACATTTTGAGATGCAATCCACACTACCGTTAGCACAATGATAAAGTGGTGGATTTCTAGCATCAAAACATGTGCCATTGCATAATTGAATTTGGTTTGGCTTATAATTAGTATAAACATTGTTCACTCTGCATATTGTACCATTAGCACATACTTTATAATTGTAATCATATCCAGTTATACAATTTCCATTACAGATACGATCGTTGTTACAAATTGTATGATTTAAACATACTTGCGACTTTAGATCGTAGCATTGTAATCGTGATGGTGTAATAAGCTGGTCTGAAT